TCAGGTTTGAAAGGGAGTATATACATGTTCCTCATCTTGTTCACTTTAACTGACAAAAAACTCTTAAGACAAATAATTCCAATCTGTATAGAAAATGCAGACAGGTATAAAAGAAGGAAAACAGACTATCATACGACAAAGAGCAGAGTGGCTTCGCTTAGTTTGGCATACAGATCAGAGACATTTACCGCATCTCACATGGAGGAGAGCCCAAGAAAGTCACTGGTATTTTTGGGGAAGGGCACTAATCATTTGCATAAAAGCAGAGGCCATGTGACTTACCCAGCTCCCAAAGATCCTCACACTGGGAATAGGTTTCAATACATAAATCTAGGGCTACAAACATTCAGACCATAGTAGGGCTATACTCTATTAAAGAGGGGGAAAGCTCCTTGACAAAAAACACCCTTCTAGGGAGCTGGAGAGATGGCTCAGTGGTTAAGAGCACTGACTACTCTTCCAGAGGACCCAGGTTCAATTCCCGGCACCCACATGGGTGCTAACAGCTAACAACTGTCTGTACCTCCAAGATTTGATTTGACACCTTCATATAGACATACATGCAGGCAAAGCACCAATGCAGATAAAGTGAAACAAATGAATAAATAAAATAACAGCAACAACAACAAAGAAACCACCCTTTCAATCCGGCACTCAGGAGGCTGAAGTGGGCAGATCGCTGAATTCGAGGCCAGCCTGGTCTACAGGCTCCAAAGCTACACAGAGAAAAAAAAAAATTATACTTCTAGAGCCAGCAGGATGGCTGAGAGGATGAAGGTGCTTGCTACGCAGGCCTGGCGACTTGAATTTCATCCTTGCATCCTACATAACGCTACCACAGACCTGTCTCCACAGAGTTGTCCATCAGAGCCGTAACATGTAATAACTAAAACCTTTTAAGTTTTAAAGCCAGATGTGGTGGTTCACACCCGTATACCCAGCAGCTGGAACCAAATACCATAGACGGAGCACATTACATAAGCAACAACAGTCGATCCCTCAGTTTGGTCTCGAAAGGGCTTGCTCCGGAGTGCGGTACCTGAGCTCAAGCCCTGGAGTCTACAGGGTGCAGGAGAGAAGATGCTCCGGCAGGTCGTCCCGACCACCACATGAACGACCCTGCCCCCACACAGTGGATAAATGTAACAACAAACCTTAATGAAAACCTAGAGACCTTTTACAAGTTTTTGGTGGCATACAAAACAGAGGTATAACAGACACTATTCTTCAGTAAGGTCCCTTTACAGAATGACTATTTTTCTTTAACAAGTTGTAACATCCTTAACAGAAGAAGGCATGCTTGGGAAATGCCCAATAAATACTTGAATAAGTGATTATCAATAAGCCTAGAGAGGAAAAATAGTGGGGTTTTTGTTGTTTTTTTTTGTTTCCACATGGCTCTGTTTGTCCTGGAACTCACTATGTACACCAGGCTGGCCTTGAACTCACAGAGATCCACCTGTCTGCCTCCTGAGTGCTGGGATCAAAGTCATAGAGCACTATGCCCAGGAGATTTGGTGAATTTAGAGTCTACACTGAGGGTCTGTGAGTGACAGAAGACAGACCAAGACAACCCAGTGCATTTCAAGAACTTCTTTAACTGGACTGGTCTTAGAAAAAGTATACCCAGACGCCAGTGGCGCATGCCTTTAATCCTAGCACTGGGGAGGCAGAGCCAGGCAGATCTCTGTGAGTTTGAGGCCAGCCTGGGCTACGAAACCCTGTCTCAAAAAAAAAAAAAAAAGTATACCCAGACATGGTGGCACAAGCCTTTAGTCTCAGCACTCAGGAGGCAGAGGCAGGTTGATCTCTGGGTTTGAGGCCAGCCTGGTCTACAGAGTGAGTTCCAAGACAGTCAGAGCTACATGGTGAGACCCTGTCTCAAAAAACCAAAACCAAAACTTCCCCCAATTTTTAAATACTCTGCTTCCACGACAGAACTCCAATAATATGCTCACTCCTATTCTTGTTAGCCAGAATTGGACAGAAATAATCTACCAAAAACTAGGTTTGTCCAAGAATGTCAACTTTCTTTCCATTCTTCTGCCTCTAAAGCATGGGAAAGGAACTAGGAACCAAGGGGTTCAAGGGAACAACATGGTCTTAACTGCCTGGTCCAGATACGTGGTACAAATACGGCAAGACAGCCCGATTAGGACCAAACTTGGAAAGGCTTAATTCTGAGTTTCTGCTTGTTGGCGGCATCACAAGTCTTTTTAGCAATAAGAAATGAGTTGCTCCAGCAGTGAAAGCAGAATGGAGAAAATAACCGGCGTGATTAAATGTAGAATGGACTTTTCAAAATGAAGACCAGAGAGGGCTGAAAAGCCACTCACCTGCCAGGTGTGTGGGTGCACATTTGAAATCCCAGCACTTGGAAGACAGAGGCAGATCTGTGAGTTCCAGGCCAGCCTGGGCTACATAGTCATACTATCTCAAAACAGTTCACAAAAAACTAATTTGTTCTGGGAGCATGCCTTAAAACACATGGGGTATGGAAGTAGGCCGATCTCAGAGTTTTAGGCCACTCTGGTCTCTATATTGTATACTGGCCTTCCACAGCTACCTAGTGAGATCTTACCTCAAAACCATTTGTAGGGATCTTTCAGAACTAACCATTTAGTGCCCCCTAGTGGATACGTGAGACCAAGCCAGTATTTATTTGTACAAGTTCAGTGTTTCACATTGTTGTTTTTGGAGACAGGGTCTCACTATGTAGCTCTCGCCGTCCTGGAACCATGTAGACCAAACTGGCCTTGAACTCAGAGATATACCTGCCTCTGCCTCTCAAATGCGAGGACTAAAGGCATGAGCCACTATACCTGGCATCATGTTCTTGTTTTTGATGACCAAACCAAACAGCCTATGAGTAAAAGCCCTGGTCATGGACCTGACAAGGGTTTGATCCCCAGAACTTCGGTTATCGTCTTGACCTCCACATGTGCTCTGGGACACATGCCTTCCTCCTAATAATTTCAACAGAAAACAAGAGAAAATAGGATCACAGCTAGGTGGTGGCGGTGGCGCACGCCTTTAATCCCAGCACTCGGGAGGCAGAGCCAGGCGGATCTCTGAGTTTGAGGCCAGCCTCATCTACAGAGCGAGCTCCAGGACAGGCACCAAAACTACACAGAGAAACTCTGTCTCTAAAAACCAAGGCCTGGTAGTGGTGGTGGTGGTGGCGGCGGCGGTGGCACACGCCTTTAATCCCAGCACTTGGGAGCAGAGGCAGACTGATCTGTTTGAGGCCAGCCTGGACTACAGAGTGAGTCCAAGGATAGCCAGGACTGTTTCACAGAGAACCGTATCAAAAAACAAAACAAAAAAAAGTACTATTTCTAAAAAATAAAAATAGATAGGATCACACTTTGTAGCCCAGGCTAGCCTAGATCTCTAATCCTTTTGTCTCGGTATTCTAAATGCTGGAGTTGTTCCCAAAGTTCCCATTTTTCTAACATATACTGAACTTTAGACTGCTTTCTGTTAATTAACCTCTGCAGAAAGCTCCAGAGATCACACATTTATCTCAAGAAAGGTATCTTTACAAGAGGTAGAATGGGCCAATGATAAAAAAACATTGGTGGTTAACAGTTTCTGAAAGAAACACGAAGTATTAGGGCTTGCTTCATGGATGTACAACACAACTGCTTTGGAGTTTTGAAGAGCATGTAGGTCAGAGGTAGTATCAAGACAATATCAGAACTAGTGAATGGTAAAATGGACATGCAGAGGCTAAAATACATCTCGGGTTGGAGTGATTAAGAGCTCAATGGTTAAGAGCCCTGACTGCCCTTCAAGAATACCCAGGGGTTTTGTTGTTGAGACAGGGCTGGTCTATTTAACAGCCTTGGCTGTCCTGGAACTTGCTCTGTAGACCATGGTGGCCTCAAACTCAGTGACAGCTTTGCCTCTGCTTCCCAAGTGCTGGGATTAAGGGCGTGCACCACCATGTTTGATTCCCAGCACTCAGTCCCTAGGACTCTAACGCCCTCTTCTGGCCCCCACAGGTAGTACACGTATGGTACAGAGGCAAGTCAAACAAAACCCTAAAATCTTTTCTTGGTAACATGCCCTATACTAGGTAACGTATCCAGGATTTCAGTCTGACAGTATGATATAAAACTCTAGCCCTCTCTGGCCTGCACCTCTGTAGACTGAGATGACCTCACAGAGGTCTGGGCCTCCTGAGTTCCAATTAAACAGGTGGGGCAGTAAGCCTGCTCAGGAAGAGATCTTTACACTTGTCCACACTTATTTTGGATTTCTTAAATTCATACTGAAGCACAAACTTACAAGGAAAGCGGTCATGGAGTCACTTGCACTTGGGTTTTATCAGGAACACTTTTGGAACAAGATCTCACGTCGCAGCTCTGGCTGGCCTGGGGAGACGAGCCTGCCTCTGCCTCTCAAGCACTGAGATTAAAGGTGTGAGCCCCGCCATGTCTGGCTCAGAGGCATTACTCAATCTGGGCACAGTGCATGCCTATAATCCAGGCACTGGCGAAGGTTAGCTCTTGGGTCACTGAACTTCGAGGAGAGACAAGCAATTCCCTATCAGCCAGGGCTACATGACTTTGTATCAAATAGCAAAAGCCACTCTTAATTCTTTTACAGGCAAGAAGACCCACCATCCTCAACTGAATGCATTATAACTAGTTGTAATTTAACTTCTACCTTAATTTACAAGTGGCAACCCCTCTCTAAAACACCAGTACTTCCCCCTAAACTAATAACCATCTGTGACTTAAGAGAAGTGGTATGTAAATGATATTTATACCCAAAGTGCCAAACAATTTTTTCATAAACAACTTTATTCATGACACATTATTTAAAAAAAAAAAAATTCCCATCCCCTGGAAATGAGTTAAAAAAAAAATAAAACAAAATCCACCTCCCACCTCCCTGTTCCCACTTCCTCCCATTCCCTCCAAATAAAAGGGAAAAAAAGGTAAAGAAAAAAAGAAAACAAAACAAAAACACCTGAAAAACAAAAACACCCCAAAACTCCCCAAAACAAAGTAGTGCATTTCCCCAAGGGTAAGGGGAATTTACACTGGAGCCACTGGGAGCGAGATCTTCCGGCTACAGAAACCTGCAAAGAAAGACACTCAAAACAGAAAAAGAAACACAAAAGGAAACAAAATAGATCACCAGGCAAACTGGAGGTGCAGGGAGCCAGAGGAAGGAAGGGGAGGGTGGGCGGAGACCTGGCAGGACAGGAGCAGGCAGGCAGGGACTACTGCAAAAGGCAGGGAGAAGACGAGGGAAGGAGACAAGCAACAGTTGGGTGTCCTTCCAGAGCCCTGGGTGAAAAAAAGCCCTCCTACCACCCGTGCCCACCTACCCTGGAGCAGGCCCAGAGCTCGGGGGAGGGAGCAGGGGACGGGAGCAGCTTGCACAGTTGAGATGTGTCCATGGCGAATCCCCGAGGGGATAGGTAGCCCCTGCCCCACTCCCTGGGCCTCCCCTACTCCCCAAAGCAGGTCCCTCCTCACAGTTAGTTATGGGATTCTCCCCCCTTCCACAGTATATCTTTTTTTTTTTTTAAATATTTTTTTTTCCATCAAGGTCATCTTCTGTTTTTCTTTTTTTTTTTTTAATTCTTTTTTTTTCCTTCTTTCCTCTTTTTTTCCTCTCTCTCCTCCTAATACACACTTTTTTTAGTAAGGGGAATACCATGATGTCGCTCTAGCCCGGCCCCTGGAAGAAAGAAGGAGAGTTAGGTGTTAACATGGTCACTAGAGAGTTAGTGCAAGACCCTCCCCGTGGGCCCGCACTGCCCCGGTGACCGAAGGGAGCACCTCCAAAGGGAGTGCTCACTCCCAGGAATAACAACTGGCACACTGGGGCCTTGAGGGGAAGTGGGGGAGAAGTACACCTAAGACACTGAGGGACAGAAAAAGCTTGGATCCAGTGCTTATCCAGTGCTCCACAGCTCTTAACCCTACCTGGGGAAAAGGCAGGGTTTATCTTAACATACGATTGCAATGCAGGGACAGAGTTGGTAAAGCACAGCCACAGTGTGGTGCCACCAGGCCGTCAGACCGCTAGCCTTGGAACACACTGGCATCAGTCCTCACAGTGGGGGTCAGCCTGCCACGGGATGCTTCCCAGGACTCCACTTCCGCCCCCACCTCCCCCTCTGGGAAACGTAGCCATCAATATCCAAGCAGTGCTCTCCCTGCTCCGAGGCCTCACAATTCTCAGTGTAAACACGTTCACTGCCACCAACTCCCAAAGGAAGAAAGCGGAGGGAGGAAACCTCTCTATCCTCACCAATTTCTGCTCAAGGAAACAGAACTGGCCTCCTGAACTGGCCTACAACTACTTCCTCCCTCTGCACGCGCAGAAGGAGACCAAGTCCCCGGACACCAAAGAGGACAAGGGATCGAGGGTCCTCAGATCAGGAGAGAATGAAGCCTAAGGGCTCTTGGGAGGCGGGGAAGAGGAGCAGCCCATCTATCCTGACCTGTAGACTCGACCCCGGGGCCTGCTGTTAAAACCACTGTAGAAGCGAGATCGGGAGCTGTTGTAATTGGTAGTCCGGGCACGGTATCGGGCACGCGGGAAACCCCGGTCTGTTGTACTGATGCCTGGTCTGTTGGTTCGTTTGGGAATCACCTGAGAAGGAGAGGACAGAAAGCCTTGGAGTCAAGGCGGATAATCTATGCAGAACCCACAGCCAAGGCACTAACTATGCTTACCTTGATCTGTCTTCCTCTAAACAGGGACTCATCTAAGGCCAGGGAAGTCCTCACTGACTCCTTGTCTGAGAACTCTATATACGCAAACCTGGGAAGAATAACTTGTCATTTTATCGGATTTTACAAATAGCTCACAGGTTAAACCCAACTTGTAAACACAGTTCATTGGAATATAACACAGTAACACTTTTAAGTAATTAAATTATTTAAATAACAGTATAAAAATTTCCAACTACTTTGGGCATAGTGAACACAGCTTATAATCTCGCTACTCTGGAGGCTGAGGCAATAGAACCTAAGGTCAAGGCCTGTTTAAGCTACAGAGTTGAAGTCTAGCCTAGGCAACTTAGGACCCTGTTTCACAATTAAAAAGTCTGAAAAAGGATGTGAGTGTATCTGTGACTCAGTAAGAGCACCTGCCTAGCAGGTATCTTGAGTCCCTTGGATCAATCTCCAGCAACACAAAAATTCAAAACATAAAGCCAGGTTTCATAGAACCATCCATAACACCTAGTGCCCACTAGACACCGCCGGCCCTCCTCCCAGTTTACAATCGCACCCCTGCCCAGTCTTTATTATTTCTGAAGATGTTTAACATACCACTACTGATAACAGAACAGGCAAAATCCACTTGTTTTTAACAACTGATTACTAGTCTACAGAAAACATAAAATGTAAGTTTGGCTAGTAGTGATGCATGACTTTAATCCCAGCACTTTAGGAACAGAGGCAGAGGCAGAAGCAGGTGGTTCTAAGTTTGAAGCCATCCTGGGCTACAGAGCTAATTCCAGGATAGCCAGGGCTGCACAAAAAAAATCTCAAAAAGTAAAAAAATTAAAAACTAGAACATGAGTTCACACTGCCAGCTCAACAGTACACATATTCAGCATGGTCAAGATCCCGGGTTCAATTCCCAGCTTGGAGAGTGGTGGGGTATCACAAGTATTATATGTATTTCTAAACTGTGGCTAAAATGACCAACTTATTATTCCCTTACTCACCCTTTGGGATGGCCACTAAATTTGTCACAGAGTATCGTAACACGATTGACTGAACCACAGCCATGAAAGTGAGCTTCCAGCTCTTCTGCTGTGGCACCATAGTCCACCTACGGAAAGGAACATTTTATAAGTCCTGGGAAAACTCCTATTTGAACAGGTACCCTGCATAGACATCTTTAGTCCGGGTCCAAGGCACATCAAATATCCTCTTTTCTCCCAAGGCTAGAATCTTTTCATTACCTTTATCTTTATCTCCTCACAACCTTCCCCCAACCCCCAACCAATTCTAGATTCCTTCTAAAACTATTAAAGAACTCCCTCACTCAAATAAGAATGTACTCCTTGCCAGGCGGCGGCGCACAGAAGGCAGAAGCAGGTGGATCTCTGAGTTCTGAAGCCAGCCTGGTCTACAGAGAGTTCCAGGACAGCCAGGGATACACAGAGAAACCCTGTCTCCAAAAAAAACCAAAAAACGGAACAAAAATGTAGTTTTGTAAGGTCAGTACTCAGGAAGCTGAGTCTAGAGAATCACTTTTGAATCAGTGGCCAGTGTGGGCTACATAACAAGCCCTACCTAAAATAAATAAAAAAGAAAAAAAGAATGTCCCCTAAACCCAAATCAAACCCTTTTTCAATACATACATTGCCAACATAGATAGAACGGGCATCGGCCTCCATCTTCTCCTCAAGAGACATAATCACTGGGCCAGCTTTGGGGGGGGGGGGGACGGGGAAAAAAAACCATTTTTAAACAAGCATATTTTCTGCTGGATCAATACATATATACCCCCACCACCATTAGGCTAAGATTTTGGTCTGTTCTACTAGACTCATTTCCTCGAACAGTGCCCAGAATAGTAGGTTTCAATAAATATTTGAAAAATTACCCTCTTAAGAATTATAAAAGAATGTAATATTTCCTAAATCAAGTTTCCATTGACTTGCTTTGGCTGAAATGCCTCAGAGTGAACAAAATTCAAAATTCAATGGATTGAGTTCTGACACTTCTAGATTAAATAAGTCCCCCCACAGTCATCAGTATCTTATAAGTCCAACTAAGGTCTCTAACTGAAAAGTATTAGTTTTGAAGGTCAAACGCCAGCGGGCGATCTCCACAAGAAGGCTATAGACAGACTAAGAACAAAGAGAAACACATTTATAAACGAGACAAAGGAAGGCACAAGATTATCACCATCAAAACCGCTTGTATCTAACAAAGGTCAGTAGAACACTCAACGGACTATGACCACAGCACCTGCCCAGAAAAAATTGCTCAGACAAGCGGCTTCAAGGTCCCGAGCCTCTAAGGCCACATTGCCGATCACCGCCTCCCCCCACCCCCACAAATAAACCCCAAGACCCGGACTCGACAAGCAATAGCCGCTTTTACTCACCATTGCCTGGGGGTGGACTCATATTCATCTGCTTCTCTACCTCGTTTTGTAGCTCCTTCAGCTTCTCAGCCTCTTCCTCCATCTCCCTGACTCGAGCTTTGATCGCTTCTAGCTCCTACAACGAGGGAGCAGGGCATGCAGAAGGTTAACCACAGACGCAGGGGCTGGGCCGTACATTTTGTCTGGGGCCCGGCCACAGCCATCCATGCTCGGCCATTCCCCTCGCCTCGTGCGAGGATCGTAATTAGGGGAGGGTTAAAAAAAAAGGGGGGTACAGCACAAAAATAAAAGCCAAACCACCTTCTCCAGAGCCACCCTAGAGGCATCCGCGAAGCCCCATCAGCCCGTTCACGAACGGCCCCGGCCCGCCATCAGCCACGTTATTTCCCCGCCCAACCCCACCCCCCGCCTGCCTGCCTCCCGCCCGAGCTCTGGGCCTCGCATGACCCGGCCCGCCGCTCGCTCGGCCTCCTTCCCTCACCGGGTCCTCAATGGCGCCGTCCCCGGGGTCGGCCTCGACCAGTCCCGGCTCTTCCTCCTCCTCCTGGCTGCCGGGGGCTCCCGAGCCGGGGCCAGGACCCGGAGCTCCGGGGGGGGCACGGGGCCGGGGCGGCTCCTCTTCGGGCTCGGGTTCCGGCAGCAGCTCTCCAGGCTCCAGTTCCTCAGACTCCAGGCCGTTCCCGTAGTCCCCTGCGCCCCCCGGATCCCCCTCCCCGGCCTCCCCACCGGCCCCGGGCACAAGATGGCGCCGCCGCCCCGGCCCGGAGCCCCGACCGCCCGCAGCCCCCGCTGCTGCTGCCGCCGCCGCTGCCGCCGCCATCGCCGCTCAGACTGGGGCCCGCCGCTCGGCGATTGGAGAATTGTGCCGGCCACGCCAAGGATTCATTAGTCAGCCAGCCTGCCCGTCACCTCGAGCTCGAACACTATTGGGGAATTCTACTTGGCAATCAAACGAGACCCCACCTCCAGGGCGGGCCGCTGCGCCAAATTCTGTGATCCCGGTAGGTGAAATGTGCTTGTCAATCAACACACCCCACCTCCTGTCGAGTCCTTAGGTAACAATACGCCCGCACTGTGACGACTTTCCGCTCATCCTCCGCCCATGGGCGGGGCCACAGCACGGAGGATGCTCCCGATTGGTCCCTGACTGGCGAGTGGAAAGGACTAATCTTCCAAACGCCTCGCCGAAGGGGCCCATTCTCAGATGCCGATTGGCTTGTGAGATTCGACCAGCTGACACCGGTTGTACGACAGGTGAACCTTGCTCCCGAAAGGGTTGCCAGGCTTAAAGCTAGGGAATTCCTCAGCCCTGCCTGGTGGCGTACACCTTTAATCCCAGCCCTCAGAATGCAGAGGCTGAGCGAATCTGTTAGTTCAAGGCCAGCCTGGTTTACATAGCCAGGACAGTCAGCCTACATAGAGACCCAGTGTCAAAAATTAAATCAGAAACAAACAAACAACGCCTGGGGGTTAATTGTTGGAAGACAGAAAACGGGTCGGTCTAACAAGAAAAGCCCCGGTAGGTGGGATGTCCTCAGAAAGTGGAGGTTCTGAAGTTCTTCTTAGGAGGGAGTGTACTTTTCTCAACTTAGTTACTGGCATCATCCAATAAGGTGACATAAACTGCAAACCTCACTAATCCTCACCCAGACCTTTCTAGTCCGGAGTTGTGTCCCGTTCTGCATAGATCTTTTTTTAAGTCCTTCGGCCTGCTTAGTTTCAGTCTGTTTCCTTGCCTAGACAGTTACAACACCCTGGTTTTCCTGGCCAGCTGAAAGGTTAAAAATTCCTTATGGTGGCCTCAGACCCCGCAGAACTCGGCTAGCTTGTACCTGAGGTCCAGATTTTGCCTCTATATGTGCAGTTTCTCCTAAACCAGACCACCTCAGTGGGGAGGCCTTCCAGGTTTCCCCTCCTGTCTTGAGACAAGTGGACCTAGCCACGGCGCACTTAAAACAATGTTGTGCTTTTTCCTAACTAGGTGATGAGTTCCTGCAGACAGGGGACCAAGTGCTGTTTATATTTGTATCTCTAAGTGGAGATATACACTCAGCAGAGTACACGTTGTGACTACTGACTGATTGCTCCTTCTAGGTGCCACCTTTCACCTGTAGTTTCCTAGCTTTCAAACCCTTCTTGAAGACCCCAGAGGAATTCCTCCATGCAAGTTCTCAAAACAGCTCTGCACCTTTAGATAAGCCAGGAGAGCTGGCCCTGGAGGCAGGAGGTTCCCACAATCTATTAGAAATTCCGAGGCATTTACAGGAGTAATGAATAGTAGTGCTAAATCCAAGAGGACTTTTTGTATCGAGACCAAACGACAAGTTTGAGAGGTGTATGTACACAAACACAACCCCAAAGTTAACATGGTTGTGGGGGGAGGGCTGGGCGAAACACCTCTAAGCACACCAAAGTCAGAAGTACCACTCCTTACACCCCACCGTTGCCCGCACTTCTTGGAATTCCTTACCTCAAGATCTTGGGAGCTGGGAGCAGAGTCAGCCTCTTCTTGCTGTAGATCCATCAGAACTAAAGCTGGTCACTGAAGATGGGTACTCCAGAGGAAAGTTCTCTTATACTGATTGTAGCCAATTCCAAACTTGAAGGTTTGACAGCACCCAACTGAATCAAGGCAATGTCTCACGACTGAGCTCTGGCTGGTCTGAAGCTCAATATATAGGCCAGGCTGGCCTTGAACTCACAGAGATTAGCCTATCTCTGCCTCCCACGCACTGGGATTAAAGGTGTGTGCCACCACGCCCAACTCTTTAAATACCTTTTAATTCTACCTTTGGCAAGCCCATGATTGTGTAACTAGCACTGGCCCTCATCTCATAGGATTCTCACCGTTGTAGGGAAAGTACTTCCAAAATCCTCTGCCCCTAAATCCTTTGGAGTTTTTCCAGACAGGATTTCTCTGTGCAGTGTTGGCTGTCTAGAAACTCACTCTGTAGACCAGGCTAGCCTCAAACTGAGATCCACTTGCCTCTGCCTCCCAAG